AAATACTTTTAACTCATGGTATATGGAGGGGATTATAATCAATGTAATGAAACAAGTTATATGAATTGTTGAATGTGAAATTGATGATGTGCCCTGTAAACTTTCACTCAATCCACAATAAAAACCTTAAAAAAACAGAGTTGAAAATTTCAAAGGGACTCTTGAAAAGACAAAATAAAGTAGCATATAAAGTGTGCAAAGACCTGCAGTTAGAAAACCCATACACTGGGAATTTCTCAAGCTAAAAGAATTGAAGAAAAAAATCAAGCCTGGAGTTACAATACTGAGGGATTCTATGGGTAAAATGTGAAGGAAGCACAAAAAGAACACGGAAGGAATACACAAAGTCTCTGTACTAAACAGAACTGGTCTCTCTTCAACCATATCAGGACGATGCACAGGATGAAGAACCAATGGTATTAAAGCAATAAATTCAAGTTGTACTGAAGTCTTTGGTAAAAAACAATGATTTAGGAAGTAAGTGATGGAATACCAATCGAAATGTTTCAACTAACTGCTGCAGTGCTGGAGGTGCTCACTCATCTAGGCCAAGAAATTTGGAAGGCCAACTGACTGAAGTTATATATTTGTGCCCAAGACCAAAAAAGGTGACCCATTATAATTAAATGATTGAATAATATAATTATTAATATTGCATGCAAATAAAATTTTTCTGCATATAATTTTGGATGAAGAATGGGGATTTCAGAACAATTAATTTTACTCATGCTGAAGCTGTATATAAGCCAAGAGGCAGTTGCTCGAACAAAACAAGGGGATACAGAATGGTTTAAAATCAGGAAAGGTATGCATCTTGTATTCTTTCACTATACTTATTAACTCTGAAAACAGAACAAATAATCCGAGAAGCTGGATCATATGAAGAAGAACGTGGTATCAGGATTGAAGGAAGACTGCAATGTGCAGACGATACAACCTTGCTTGCTGGGAGTGAATAGGACTTGAAGTACTTACTGGTGGTTCAAGGGCTAACAGTCTTCAGTATGGATTAGAACTCAATGTAAAGAAAACAAATATCCTCATGGGACCAATAATTAACATCCTGATAAATGGAAAAAGATTGAAATTGTTAAGGACTTCATTTTACTTGGATTCACAATTAATTCTCATGGAGGAGCAAACAAGAAATTCAAATGACAATATTGCATTGGGCAAATCTGCTGCAAGAGACCTTTACATTTTAAAGTGTAAAGATAACATTTTGAGGACTAAGGTATGCCTGACCCTAGCCATGGTATTTTTAATCACATCATATACACAGAAAAGCTGGACAATAAAGAAGACTGAGGAAGAACTGACAGATTTGAACGCTGGTGCTGTGAAGAATATTAGGCTGCCTGATGGCACAGAGGATTAGAACTGCCAAGTCAGCAGTTTGAGTCTAGCCTGTGGAAGGCAGGTAAGACTTTCTACTACTGTAAAGATTTAAAGCCTATGAAGCCTTATACAGGGTCACTATGAGTCAGAATCCACTTGATGGCACATGGTCAGTCTGGCAGCCGGTCAGAAGAATGAATAAACAAACCTGTGCTGAAAGAGGTACAGCAAGAAACCTTATTAGAAATGAGGATGGCAACACTTTGTTTCACATACTTTGAACATGTTATCAGGAAGGACCATTCCCTAGAAAAGACCACCATGCTTGGTAAAGGGTAAGGGAAAAGAGGATTGTGGTACCCTGATTTACGTATATCTGAAGTTTCCTTAAAACCCACCAAATGACTGGGTGAAGCTATGCAAATAGGGTATCACAGGATTCTAACACTGGGATTGGTTAGTTTTGTCATCATCTATAATTAAAAGGGAATCCTGGTGTGACGCTGTAGGTTAATCCGCTAGACTGCAATGTCGGTTGGAACTGCAAGGTTGGCAGTTCAAGCTCACCAGATGCTCCTCGGAAACCCTATACAGGGTTGCTATGGGTTGGAACTGACTTGATGACATTTAACAACAAAACCATATTTAAAAGTAGTTATATCAGAAGAAGGAACAGATGATTTTAGGACCATCAAGAAAGAAGAGCATGAATGGAGCCTGAGATGCCTACCTGGAAGTAGTAAGAGGAGCGGTGGCAGCATGGAGAAATAATAGCTAAAGGCTTGCTGGATGCCAGCATGTCCAGTCTGGAGGCTGTATGCTGTTGTTGTTGCTAAGTTATTTGGTTCCGACCCATATCGACTCTGTACAGGGTTTCTGAGGAATAGCTAGTGAGTTTGAATTGCTGACCTTGCAGTTCAAACTGACCTTGAGGTCAAGTGCTTATCCTAATAGCATCACACCAGTACTCCAGACATTACATTGCTAAGTGCCGCTGAGTAGGTTCTGATCTATGGAGACCCTGTACAGCATTTCCAAGGAGTAGCTGGTGAGCTTGAACCATTGACCTTGCAGTTCAAAAGGCTTTGCTGTCTGGCTCATGAACTCACAGCACCATACCCGGGCTCCATCACATTGTGGTTGTTGTTGTTAAGTGCCATCGAGTCAATTCCAAACCAGAGCAACCCTGTATAGTGTTTCCAAGGAACAGCTGGTGAGCTTGAACTGCCGACCTTGCAGTTACAACAGCTTTGCAGTTTGGCGCATTAATTCACAGCACCACACCAGGACTCCAACACATTTGGGGTTAGTTAATTAAATGTTTAACCAATGCATATAGGCTAATTTTTAAGTTGCTAATTGTGTATGGTCTGAGACTATTATAAATTTTGGCGGAAAAAAGGTTCTTTACCCCTGGCCTATTAGCAGGAGGCCAGCTTGCAGAATTGTGCCCTCTGGACATTTACAGACCAGCTAAAAGAGCTTTGTAACAATTGTCTGAGCAACTCAGAGGCCCAGGGGTCACATGGCTAAGAGGCTGAAGAGAAGGACTGCCTACAAACCCTCAAGGTGGTTGGTTTGGAATGTCATGAGGGACTGCTCACATGACTCTCCCAAAAGGTTTTAATTATTTAGGGGACCTGTAGTTTTTTTTTTTTTTTAAAAAAACACACCTTTCTATCTTCTCTGAACTATGAGTTTGGGTGTGGCACTGTGTGATAAAGCACTAGACTGCAAGGCCAGTTTGAACCATAAGGCTGGCAGTTCAAACTCACCAGCTGTTCCTTGGAAACCCTGTACAGGATCACTATGAGTTGGAACCGACTCGACAGTACTTAACGACAATACTAGTAACTAATCTTTAAAATCTATAGGAAATGGCAACACCTCTAAAGGAAAAAGACAAATAATCCATTTAAAAACTGGCACAGTACATGAACATACACTTCACCAAGGAAGACATTCAGGTAGCCAACAACATGAAGAAATGTTCACAATCATTAGCTATTAGGAAGATGCAAATCAAAGCAACAATGAAATATCATCTCACCCCAGCACTAACACTGCAGTTCAAAAAACAGGACGATAAATGATGGGGAGGGTGTGGAGAGATTGGGACCCTCCTATATGGTTGGTGGGACTGTAAAATGGTTCAGCCATTCTGGAAAATGGTATGGCGCTTCCTCAGAAAGTTGGAAACAGAAATACTTTATTACCCAGCAATTCCTCTACTTGGTATATATCCATAAGAAATATGAGCCAGAACCCGAGTAGACAGATGCAAACCAAAGTTCATCGTAACACTATTCACAATAGCAAAAAGGAGACAGCCTAAAGTGCCCGTCAATGGAAGAATAGATAAAGAAACTTTGGTTCATACACACAATGGAATACTATACTATCTTCAAGAATAATGATGAAGCAGCAAAACACCTCATAACATCGATAAACCTTGAGGACACTATGATGAGTGATATTAGTCACAAAAAGACAAATATTACATAAGACCATTATTGTAAAAGATTTCCATACTAACAGAAAAATTCTTTGTTGGCTTCCAAGGGTGGTAAGGAGGGGACGGTATGGCACAGGTTAGGGTAGAGCAATACACAAGAAGGGGAGGAGGTGGAAGAACAAGGAAGATACAGTAAGACTTAGGGAGGTTTGTATGCGCTAAATGGGATTGAGGGAAATAGTGATGCATACTCAATCTTGGAACAAGAGGGTTCTAGTCTCAATGGGTAAAAGAGAGGAAACAATGTTAAGGTGCGTGACTGTCTTGTTGATTTTAGTTTCCCTTGCCTACAATTATAAAATAGACATTTAAGGCAGATAGAAAGGAATAATGGGAAATATGACAGAAAGCTTGTCTTTAGCCTGTAACTGACTGTAATAGCTAAAAGGGGTATTAGAATTTGCTCAGTGAAATAGGCTTTTTGGTAATAAAACTTTGCAGAATATGGGCCTTAGGTGAAATCCTGAGCCCCATTCAGAACCTTCAGAGGTGGGACATTCCCACTTGAAAGGACATGCAGACCAGCCAAGAGCAGCTAGACAACAGAAGATACTTTACTTGGGAACTCCTGAGCCCATGAAAAACTGACTTAGTCACTGGGGGCTAGAGTAAGAGTAAAGTGGCCAGCTGATCTGAAGTGGGGGCAGGCATGCAAGAATGCCTAAACTTGCAGAGCGTACCCATTTTACCTAGCTTGGAGAGCTTGCTTATCAGAACTTGACTAGAGGAAGATAAAGAAGTGTGATACAAGAAGCAAGTGAAAACCACTACACTTAAATAAACTTGACCTATACTTATGGATGTATTAGCTCAAATACCAACAAAGAGGGAAGGAGTCTTTATATTATAAAGGATCAAGCCTATTCCCTTAGTACACAGGGTTGACAGGGGCAGGCAACTTAGATGTTAGTTATCAAAAATGGGGGACTATAAAGGCATGAAGTGACTGGCTTACACATTTTCAAGAGTGTGCTTAGTTTCACAGTGGGGGGGTGGGGGAGGGATACAGTAGAATCCCCATGGAATAGTTTTCTTCTAGTTTAGGTACAAAGGGATGGAGTAGGGTGGGGGTAGGAGTCTTTTGATTCATTAGTAATTATTATGACTAACTGCAACTGTCATAGCTGTAAATGGAGAATATTGTGTAGGGCGGAGTAAGTAATTTTATATTCCAAGAACAGAGGACCCTAGGATCATCAAGAGGGAAGACCATAAGCAGAGTGTGGGATCCTAACCAGAGAAGCAGTGACACTAGAGATGGAGGCAGAGGTGATGGCATAGAGAGATACAGCATCTGAGGACTCTAGACCCATGGAATGAGGAAGGCTGTGTGCCGGTGTGGCTGGCATGCAAAAATGTGCCCATTGGTTGTTTAAATAAATGTATGTTTTCTGTATTACCCTACCCCCCCCAACAAAAAAAAGGTAAGAGAGGTAAATACTGTTAATCGATGGTGCATGGAAGGGATTGTAATTATTGCAATGAAACAAAAACCGATGATCTGCCAGTAATCACTCAATTTATAATAAAAGCTTAAAAAAACCCAAAACTATAGTATCTGGTTACTAAATACTATAGTTATTAGTAACTATATTCTAATAACCCCAAAATCTCCTAATCTTTGGTCAGCTTTTTTTATTTTTCAGCTAGAGAAATTACTATCAGGAGATCTCCAAATTCCTTGTTCATAATTTGCAAATTTGTATCCCCAAATCTTTTGTCTATTCATATTTAATAATGCAATATATACTTTGGTGTTAATGGCACTACCAAGAAAGGGATGGTACCCTGACTATCCCTGTAGTTCTTTTCACATTTTATATAGTAAGCTAACACTCAACTTGCAGCCTACACGTTTTAAACAAAATTAGGGATACCTGCACTACCAACTATAGCATTATAAATCACATTCCTGTGAAAAGTCCTGAAAGTGCTTTGGATACTCAGTGGTAGTTAATATGCCTTCAATTTTTTTTTCCTTTAGGCTAAGGAATTCTTATTGTCACTCTGTTCATTTTCTTATGTTTTAAAGAGACTTTTGAAACACAAACTGAAATACTAATAGCTGAGGTGACATTTGGATTAGTGTCAAATTATGGGGTGGGCAGCAGGGATTTAAATTGGGCAGAATTTATAGGACAATGGGTACAAAGGCATTTATTATTTTTTAAACTACATAGGACAAGTACAAGAAATATTTTATTTGTAAAAACAGATTTTGTTTCTCAAACAGGCTTGATTCTACTTACCATCTAGTAATTCTAGAGTAACTGTAGGATCTACATATTCCCACCAATGCTTTCCATCAGTTGACACAGGAATTTCCCAATTGGACCATTTGCAAGCCAAATGAATGCATACACATGCTATCACTGTTGGTTTGTACTGAAGGCAGAAGGTCGTGAGATGTAGACTGTTGTATAGCAGGTTTGGAAATGAAGAGCCACAGATATTCATATATGTAAAACAAAGAAAACATTTACCAATAAGATTAGAGCAAATAAACAAACAAATAAAGGATTTCTTCTTTAAGTCTACAGTACAAAGCATTATTTTGTAAATTAAAAGCCAACACTAGTTATAAAAATTCTATACTAAAAATATCTATATAGACTATGAAGTTCCCCACACCCTCAGAGTATTATTTATTATTATATATTATTTATATGCAGTATTTTATCAACACTACTATCAATTATTCTAAAAAATTTATGGATTGAAATTAAAAGTATTTTTACTTATTTCTATAAAAGAAGGGAATATAGTATATTAGCTAGATTCATGTTTAGTAAATATAAAATAAGCACAACACTTTAAATTTTTAGTGGTGTTTTTGTAATTTATGCAAAATGCAAAGAAAAAGAAACAGAAGATTTTGTAAACTTGACAAGTAATTCCAATGTCACATTATAATCAGACATTATACCATTTAGATACGGCTTAATCAGCATTTTTAAAAATTAAATTTCTCAGTAGGTCAGAGAGCTACCTCACTTGTTTTTTTTTTTTTTTTGGCAAACCACAAAGAAAACTTACCTTTTACAAAACAGCTTCCAGGCCCAATGTTGCTAAGCACTACAAAAATACTACCTCTGTCTCTCTGCTATATGTCCAAAAAATGACATGTAGCATGCCATAGTAGCCTCTTCTAAATGAAGTTTTACAATGAAGACTTTTTTGTTCAGAATTATTAGGACTATACAGGTTACATACCAATAACATATATCTTAAGAAAATAGATTACTTGCCCATCTAAAAATTTTAATACATCTTTAATAAGAAATTAAGGACCATACAAAGCTGGTGTGGTCCCTTCTTCCCCAAAGACCCATTTAAAAAACAATCTTAGATTTTTAATATAGTCAATCTAGAACAGGATTATATATTCTATGTTAAAAGCTCTTTAATGATCTTTCCAGTTCAGTTTCATAATTGATGAAAATGTTTCACGATCAACCACAAACCCATAACATTTTTGTTTTATATAAACTGAAATGAAGTAAAATTGTACTTATGCAAACCTATGTAATGACAGGACTTGACTACTTTTAGTTTATTACTATTGGATATTTTACTGTAAAAAAACAAAAAACCCGTTATGTAAATTTTACTGTTAAAAAAACAAACAAACAAAAAAATCCCTTTAATGACTATTTTAAGGTTAGGATTGGATCAAGGTGAAATTTAAAAAAATTGTCATTAACTATAATTGTAAACTAGAAACAGCTTTATACTTACCAAGTTGCTCGAATTTCTACGTTAAGTTTAGCTCTTTGTAATCTTTAGCTGCTATTCAGGCTACCAATTTTAGACTTATGCACTCACAAATCGAGAATATGTCATCAGAAAGCACCACTACACTTCACATTGTGCATTTAACCCCTCTGTGCCCAAAGTCCCTTGTACAATACACCGCAAAGCAAACAGGGAGGTACCACCACAGTAGATGGTCCAGTCTCCTGTTGCAACAAGGGTAAGAGACACATTGAGGGGGCCCTGCATTAAAGGAAGCTATAGTGTGCTACAACAGTGCAACAAAGAGGGTCAGGATAACAACCTGTTGGTAGCCATGAAATAGGATGTCTGTGCCAAATCCTTGCTTGCTGTAAGAAAAGAAAAAAAAAAAAGAACACAATACTATCAGCTTTAACATGCTATCATCAAAAAGTTTTCAACACAACAAAAACTTCAAAGATTTGTACACAAAAAAAAAAATAAATGTTACTTACTACTTACAAACATCACAAGAGCGCCATCATTTTCTATACTACTGAAAATCTTCAACAACATTCACTCAAATGTTTCTTGCTATCCCCCAAAGATCTGAGAAACAAGCCGATTTGCTTTTAGCTAGCCAGTTACAAGGGCTAAACTTGTTACTAAGTTAAGCACCTAGTCAGCTAAAAGGTGCAATAAAGCATTCTCCTGGATTTAAAAAAAAAAAAAAGAAGAAGAAGAAGAAGAAAAGATTTTGAAGTCTAACACAAAATACAAAGAGTTGCCTGCCAGACTTAATCCTCAGTCATCATATTTAAGTGGCTTAAGTACTTCCATCAGAGAAAATAAAATAAAACCCCCCACCCCCCAAATTGCTAAATTTTCCACCATACTACTAAGCATCATCAGAGAATAAATGTAAGAGAGTGTAGATCTATGAAGCGACACTGCATGATTTAAATTATTTTCAGTATCCAATTAAAGACAATGTTTATAAAAGATAAAAAGCACACTAGGGGGAATAAGAATGCTTCAACACTAGTCCCCAACAGAACAGCACTTATTTTTTAACAACTAGCTTCTTAAGAAACCGAAAAAGGTTTTGTTTCCGCCCTCCACCTTCTGCTGTCTCTTATTATTATTCTTCCCAATGGGTATATATCCTTGCTGCATTCACTTTTCACTTTTTTTCAATTACATTCGTAATCACTGACATACATTTCCCCTCTGCTCACCTAGGATCAGTTCACCTCAACTTCACCTCTCTAACAGGCATCATATTCCTTCCTAACTCCTATTTTTTTGTCCTTGACAGCCGTAACCCCTGCTGCTACAATAGATGGTCAATATAAAGGTTTTACAAAAGGGATTTGGGATTAGCAGAGCTGTACTAAGGAAGAGTGGCAAAGCATCAGATGTCTTGGAGGTAGTGCCTTAAGTATGTCATTCTTTCCTGGTGGGGAGGGAAGGAGAAATCAGACATGAACGGTCCCTGTAAAATGACATTGGCCAATTCTACAGCAAAGCAGCAAAATATCAACCTTTTCATCTACAAAGAGGGAGATAGTCTTTATAGAAACCACATTTATCTACCCCACCTCTGACCAAAATCAGAATCTGTCAAGAGAAGTAAAAATAATTTTAGATTGCTGTAGGAGTTTTCACCTGGTAATAAATCTAAAGTCAATGACCTGTAAACTACAACAGAGGGATGATGTAGGGGAAAGAGTCTTTTGTTAGCTGAATGTTGTGATACAGCAAAGAAAAAATAAAGGACAACAAACATGAAAGAAAATTTTAAAAAACTGGACTGAAATGAAAAGTAGTTACCTGAAATGTTAGTTGGACAAATGCACTCTAATTATTGGTCATATTTAAAATATTAACAACAAAAAAAATCAGCTTTATATATTTTGCTTCAACTGATGAAATGACATCACATCTCTAACTTCTTTAGGTTAGAACATTTACAGAAAGTTAAAATTTAATAGACTGTCAAAGAAACAGATTCCAATTTCACAAGCAAGAATGCTATGTTGAAAATCTAGCTTCACTTTCTACTAAGCTAAGAAAATACATATCTTCATTCAATAGGCACTCAATTTAAAGGAAATTATATGGCTGTTACTCTTAAGCTTTTCTCTTAACACTTATATGAATTATTTATGTAATTCTATACTAAATTGTAATATTAGGGATAAGAATTTGCTATAAAAAATATATAACCATGAGGAATGGGAACCATAATTTAATGTTATAATACACAAATGGTAGTATGTGGACAGGATTGACAAAAAACTTAAGTGATGAATTTAAGAAGTCCAGTTCTTAACAATACTGTGGTATCAGACAACAGTTCCATTTTGTTTTTTTGAACGCAGTCATTAGTTTAACAAAATCCTCTTTGGGCATAAAATGAAATCAGTATAGAATGAATAAAATGTCAGAATATTTAGGAAAAGATGAAAAAGACAAATAAAAAGATATTCAGAAGTCTTACCCATTTTATTTAGGATTAACCTAAAGAAGTGTGGTAATAAAAGAATGAAACTGCAAAATTCAGTTTTCAAAAGGAAAGCAACAGAAAAAGGCACAGTAAAGGTCCCAAGTGGTGCTGTTAGTTTGTAACATTTTAAGTGGGAAACAGGAAAGTAGAAGCAGCAGCACAACATGCAACTATAAAAATGCTGCTCAACATGCTATATAAGCTGTAAAGTACAACAATGCAAACACTTTGACTCCTGTTTATCAAAGATTTAACAGGCATATCACAAATAGTATACATCATGCTGTGTTACTTAGTATACAAAAAAGGAACCATTTTTACTAACATTAAAGAACCTAAAATCAATTTTGTACAAATGAATGTGGGCAATGTATTTCCAAAAGTGACAAATCTGCTAATACAATTTTTATCTGAAACACTTGGAGTTGGCCTCAAAACTTCCCTAAAACTGCTAATAATCCTCAAAGTCAATGACAATTTGATACAAACCAGAAATTAATATTATTTTCTATGCCTATATACTATTGGCCTACATCTGAAGTATTAACTGAAATGGAAATGGCATAGCCCAATGGGGGTTGGGAGGGGTCTTAAGATTTGGAAGCCCTCAATTTTTTAATGAAATGAGACACTCACTAAAGACTCAAAGAAAGTTAATTCATCAGGCAGAACCACAAAATAACTAGGAGTAGATAGATGCAAATTTTAAAATGTTTCAAATGGACATTTCCTTCTATTTCAATAAAGCTTAAGGAAAGTTTATAAGCACAAAAATAGCATATAAGCCAATTATAAATGATTAGTACTTATCTTAAAAGCTTCAAAGATCACTTACCTCTTACTAACTGGGTACATTTCACCACATCTGTGTGTGGGTGTTCAATGGTGATCTCAAAACCTGAAATGAAAAGCACTTCTTTTTTCCTCAATTACTTATTACTACATTACTTGTCTGAGAAATGCCATTCACCACACAATAAATGATTAATATATTCATTACTAAAAATAAATCCAGACAAAGTTAAAGCTTCTCATCATCAGTGTTGTGCTCATTATACTTCCGTGACAAGAAATTTCTTCTCAAACACATTGTCCCAATTATGAACACAGGTATCAAAGTTAGCTACAGAGCAAGGGTGATATTTATTAAAAATTCTTGAGTTGTAATTAATTTAGGACTGTCCTTAAGTTAAAAACAAACTTAAATCATGGCAAATACAGACATTACACTAACCTTGTCATACAGCTTAAATTTCTCAATATTCAGCAAATAATATTTTTCTCATATGAAGGAAAAAATTTGTGGAAAAACTGAATGACAAGAATGGATTTTTTCCTGCAAATGTTTTGAAACTCCCTCATATGTATCTCTACTTTTCCTTTTAGAATATGTGAAAGAACATTTTTCCTAAAAATAACCTTTGTACACAGTGGCAGAAATGGTTCTTTGAAAGTGACAGTCCTCTAAAGGAGTTCTGGCATGGCGCTATAGAATAAGCATTTGACCACAAGGGTTGGCAGTTCCATCTCCCCAGTGGCTCCTGGGAAACCCTACATAAGGTGGTTCACTCGACAGCTCTTCACAAGAGCAGTCTTCTAATGTTCTTATGATAAAGGACATAAGCATACCAGCAACCCACGAGGATGTTGCAGGGCCCAGGGTTTGCCTAGTTGTACATAAGATTGCTTTGAGTTGCAATAGACCCAATTATCTACTTTATGTCAAAGAGCTTTGATAAGTCTGCTTATAACTATATTTTATTAATAATTAAGATTGTTTAGGCAAGTGAACCATTTAGGTCTCAAGATTCATTAAATCACTGCTGCTAAAACCAGATGCAATGGTGAGATGCTTTCAGCGTCCAACCAGTCCTGAAGCAGGACCTTTTTTCTTAAAAGTGAAGCCCACATATGGAGCCTTCACTACAGTAATTGAATAAAACCCTAACAAATAAGCATTATGTACTTATAAAGTTATTGTGTGGTCTGTTTCTACTATAATGAAACCTGAAAAATAGTAATTTTTTTAAAAGGCACCACAGGTTGTTGTTGTTAGGTGCCGTGGAGTTGGTCCCGACTCACAATGACCCTGTTACAGGGTTTCCGAGGCTGTAAATCTTTATGGGTGCAGAAAGCCTCATCTTTCTCTCATGGAACAGGTGGTAGTTTCCAACTGCCGACCTTGAGATTAGCAGCCCTATCCGTAACCACTACACTACCAAAGCACTACAGGTACATTCTCTAAATTTGATGGTGCCCCTTAAAATAAAGGTATTTATTCTCCCTGCTTAAGAATCTTTCAGAAAAACATATAAAATAAATTTACGTAATAAAATATTCACTTTCTAGTTGCTGCTGTTGTTGTTGTTGTTGTTATGTGCCGTGGAGTCTGTTCCAACTCATAGCGACCCTGTACAGAGTAAGAATCTTTCAGATAAACATATAAAATAAGTTTATATAATAAAATAATCACTTTCTAGTTGTTGTTGTTGTTATGTACCATGGAGTCGGGTTCTGACTCATAGCAACCCTGAACAGGGTTTCCGAGGCTGTAAATCTTTACGGGAGCAGAAAGCCTCATCTTTCTCCTGCGGAACAGCTGGTAGTTTCGAACTGCTGACCTTGCTGCTCGCAGCCCGATTTGTAACCACTACGCTACCAGAGCTCCTTCTAGTAGCTGTTAAGTGCTGTCAAGTCCAATTTCTGAGGAGTAGCTGGTGGGTTTGAGCTGCTGACCTTGTGGTTAGAAGTCCAGTGCTTATCCTGCAGTGCCGCACCAGAACTCCATAGTAGTATGTTGTTGTTAAGTGCTTTTAAGTTGGTGCCAACTCATAGCGACCCTGGATAGGGTTTCCAAGGAACAGTTGGTGGGTTGAAACACCAACTTTGCGGCTAGCAAGTCCTGTGTCCATAATATCACAGTTTATAATTATTTTATTTTTTGTCACTCAAACATAATCTTCTCATTATGTATAAATTTATGCAATTTTATATAAACAATAATGCCAATTCATGAATTGGGAGGAAGAATCTTGTTTTTACTTTTCATACTTTTTATATTATAAAAACTTCAAATAAGCTACTTTTGTAATAAAAACAATCTGTCATAAGGTGAAGCTCTTCTGTTCAACATTTGGGCATAAAATAACAAATAAAAGTAGCAACTATAAGAAATGACTATTCATAACAAACCAACTATGAAGAAATGGTTTTTTATATATTATCTTTCATTTTCAAATTCACAACGCAAGGCAGCTATTATTATTCTACCTCACCTCATATACACAGAATTGAAGTTTGAGAGGACTTCAAAAATTTCATGGAAAAGAAATTCCACTATTATTTTAACTTAATTTCCCCACAAACCTCGTATAACAGGTAAAGAAATGTGCCCAAGTTTACAAGGCAAGTCAGAGACCTGACGATTTAAATCCAGGATCTTCCCAACGCCCACAGTCTTCCTGCCACAATCCAAATCCTTTTCCCATAAGTAAATCTGGGAGCTCCCAGGTTTTAAAAGGTAAGATCTAAATGGTAACTCTGCAACTACTTGAACTACATGGCACATGGCTTTAGACGATTCATAGCCTTTTTAGGCCTTAATTTCCTCATTAGTACAGTGGAAGATCAGATTAAATCATCTTTTGCAATCACTTAAATTGCACGAACCTTGCATATGAAGATGTAACTTTTAGAAAACGATGGTCAACAAATAAATAGGGTCATATTTAATACTGTGTGCCATATTCATGAAATACTCTAAGTTCTGGGAGAGCAAGCATTGCTGTTTTATGTTTGTACACACTGCAATCATAATCCCTAACTTTAAGGAACTATTTTACTCTACAGTGCAAGTCAGAGCCAAACTGGGCGCCTAGGTTGAGAGAATCCAAAAGAAGTACTTACGGTTAGATCACCCAACTATCTAAAATCCAGAGAAATTACAAGGAAGGGCTATGTTTCCCATTATGTCAAACGAAACTTAATTTTTTTTTTTGATTTTCTAATAACCAGACAATACTACTATTCTAATTAAAAACTAATTTCAATACAACTTTAATACTGACACCATTTCAGAAATAATCTTTTCATTTATTTGGAGTACTGCACCAAAGAACACAAGAAGTACATACCTAGGGTTTGTAGCATTATGGTTTCAAGTATAACCAATTCTTGAGTCTGTTGAAGGTAAGCCTGCCATATAAAAATAATAAAATAATAAAATGTCTATGGCAAACATTGCACTATTAATAGATGATGGGATTGTTAAATGCCTTGGGAATTATAGATTCATCGTGAAAGTACCATAGTAGTTTGGAAGTAGGGGAAATAAATTGAAGTTGATAGAGAAAATCTATTTACTGTGTCAAGTCCAAATTAAATTAGTTCCTAATATGTAGAAAATACAAACACAGCAAAAATAGACAACCTAGAGATAATAACGAAATGTGGTAGGTTAATCTTTGAGAAAAAATATCTATTCAGTCTGTAAAATAAAACACTGTAGAGCCATTTAACAGGACACAACAAGCCATGTAAGAACATCAAACCTGTCTTAAAGATAAGAATCACAAATTCACTCACGGACATTTCATGTGACAATTCATTAAGTCACAGTAAATTAGTGAACTATATTTTTAGAATTAACTTCGCCTTCTCAGGATAACAACAAAAAAACCAGTCCGCAAATCTCTAGGTTAAGAAAAAAATTTCAGGTATCAAAACACCCCCAAACACCCCTGTCATTTAGTCAATTCTAACTTATATAGTGACCCTAGAGGACAGAGTCGAAGTGCTCCAGAGGATTTCCAATGGTGAGATCTTTACAGAAGCAGACTGCCACATCCTTCTCCCATGTTGGGTTCAAATGACCAACCCTATAGTTAGCAGTCAAGTGCTTCATCCACAGTGCCATGTTCAAAATAATGCATCATAGACCCACAGGGACACGAATACCAGAGGGTCTTTTCTCTAAATCTCAACTTTAAATTGTTCTCCAATTGCAATCACTCTGGGAAGAAATAGAATGAACAACTTTGGCTATCCCATTCTTAGATCATGACATTTAATTAAGGTGGTAAGAAAATGATATATCATACACAAATAGTCATTTATATAAGAACACGGTGCTAAACTGGAGACTGAAAACATGTTGCTCCATTTTGGAAAGGGTACTAAGCTGTTATTTAAAACAGAATTTTATTATTTGAACAATACTCTAAAGTAGTCATTAAGAAATAATTATGAATTTGTAAAACAGAAACTACAGGAGTCCTCTTTGAATGATCACACATTCCATAGTAATTTAATGGCTACAATATTTTACTCCCTTAAAATTAACATCTAGAACAAAGATTGTTGTTGTTGTTGTTGTTAAGTGCCATCGAGTCGGGTCCGACCCATAGCGACCCTGTACAGGGTTTCCGAGGGTGTAAATCTTTACGGGAGTAGAAAGCCTCATCTTTCTCCCGCGGAGCGGCTGGTAGTTTCGAACCGCTGACCTTAAGGTTCGCAGCCCGATTCGTAACCACTACGCTACCAGAGATACCATTAATAAAATCAGATATAATTCAACACAACTTAATCTGGACCTTAAACTTGTCCCGTATCAAATTGGATGAATATAATGTGGTACTCAGATTCAAGTCATAGCTAAAAAAGTCACTTATTAGTGGTTACAAATCAGGCTGTGAACTGCAAGGTCAGCAGTTCCAAACTACCAGCTGTTCTGCAGGAGAAAGATGAGGTGTTCTGCTCCTGTAAAGATATACAGCCTCGGAAACCCCGTATAGGGTCACTATGAGTTGGAACTGACTCCACGGCACATAACCACCATAATAATTATACTAAAACATTAGTTAAAGGCTCAGAATTTGAACCTTCATTTTAAAGAAATGTCAGAAAACATTTACATTGTTTTCAAATATAACCCATTATAATAATTATTATGCTGATAACAATCAGGTTGCTTGGAAAAGAAAATTACCCATTAGGAAAATTAAAATACTAGTAAAACAAAATGCTGCTCATCAATACAAGGTAAAATGCATCTTTATCAGAGATATGGGTATATGTATAGTAAAGGAATGATTCTTTAAATGACTAATTACTGACGTAGAGGTAAATTTGGAGATTTCCTATTCTTTCTACGGTGGGCAATTTGATCTCAGAGACTCATCTTCTGATCTCAATAAATATCAACAATGGAGGTGCTATGACTTACCCTCTACATATACCACAGGTTTGCTGTGAGGATCAGTCTAACAAAATGTGAAACACTTAGATGTACCCATGAATCAAAGAAAGCCTTAGATGATTCAGAATGACATTCAAATTCATAACCATCCATAAAATATTTTTCTGTCAGACTGCTTCTGGGTATTACATTTCTAATGTGGTAATAACAATAAGCATTTGACTGCTAACACTAACTGATTTACATTTTTATTATGAAAAAAGTTTCAAATTTCAGAGAAAAACCAGAACAGGATTTTACATACATCACATTTAGTATCCAGCAGTGGGTCTAGGGGATGAAGACAAGCATGTGCAACTTTGATAACATGTTCAAGCTTTCGAGCCTGTTCTTCTACTTTCGCAGCCAAAAATAATGCAGTGGGTGATATTATCTGCAGAAAAGATAATATTTGGTGATTTAAAATAAATGAATTTTGCTCAAAACTCTTACTTCTAAAGAAGGGGGAGGGCGTGCAAGGGAAGGAATGTAATATTAATAGCATAACCTGCAATATGGGTTATAATTAGATTGATAAAAGAATTTTAACCAAGGTATTTATTAAATGGAACTAGTTAACCCTGTCTATAAGATGCTATAAGCAAAATATCAAAGGGGGAAAGGGCAAAGACGTTATACTTAGGTTAAATAAGGTGAAGTCGTACTTCTACTGATAAACTAAAGTAATGTTAAAATCAGGTTAACAACAACAACAACAAAATAATAAAATCAGTTAAGATAAAATTACGAGTCAAAATTCTATCAATTAGATATCAAGATTAAATTCTTAGGATAAAGGACAAGAAATTAGCACCACAAAAATACTAAGAGAAACATCAAGTTTTGAGTATTTACCCCAAAATTTATTTTAAATTTAAAAATTGTTGACACGGGAAATAGGCATACCTTAAATTCAAACAATATTCTAAGATTACACATAAATTTCTCAGGGAATGGTAATTTTTAAAAAGTCAGGATTCAGATACACAATTTTTAAGAGATGAACATATTATATATTGGGTGTTTAACAGTTACTATATAGAAATAATGCTGAATGAGAGAGCACAGGCTAGACAAGGAGTTGGAAGAGGGCAAGCATAAATTAATAGAAGGAAAAAATTTCTGGCATAGAGAAGGTATATCCTTTCCTCTGAGAACTTTAAAAACGCTTGTAAATATTACTGCAAAGATGACACTGGCTTTTGCATCTGAAAGGGACCTTCTCTGATCTGCATTTGGATCATTGAAAATTTACTTCAAGAAATCTCTAAAAGCTGTATAAATCTTTACAACAGCAAGTCCCAACAATCAGAAATTGTTACGCTAAAAAGAATGAATAATCTCCACTTGCACTTTCTACTTATTTCCATCTTTTAAAATTACAGTTGGCCATTCATATTGATGGGTTGCACATGGAACATTGAAAATGTTCCAGGAGGAAAAAAAGGCTCCTGGCATAACATTGTAGTGTAAGTATTAGACTAGACTACTAACTACAAGGTTGGCTGGTGATTCAAATCCACCAGTTACTCCTTGGAAATTCTATACAGAGTCACTATGAGTGGGAACAGACTCCACAGCATTTAACAAGAGAGCAATGAAGTGGTCAAAGCAATCCCTCAAAGGCTAAGAGGAAGAGTAAAGTGCTATTACATTGTTATTAGTCATTATAAAATTGATGATTCAAAATATACAGGAGGCTATATGCAAATACATCATGTTCTATAAGGAACTTCTGCATCTGAGAACTCTGGTATCCGAGGGAGGCAGAGGATGTGAGTGGTGGTGGTATGTGTGTTTTGGAAGGGAAGGTGAAATAACAGTAATTTAGTTTTCATAGATTTAGAATAAAACTTTTTACAAGAGATTTACTTAGGCATCTCAGTATTACTTAACAGGAAGTCAAACGGTATTGCTAAGGAAAAATTCATAGAAACTTAGGAAACAAAAACATAAAAATGGGAAGCTATTGTTTTTCAACAATATCCTTCATATGGTCTATACACATTCTAAAAGTAATGTTTTCATCTCTCCAACCCTTCTTCCAAAGAATTCTTTGCTCTTTAATTCATACCATGTCAAAATGGCAGTTTTGGGCATTCTCTAGGGAATAAAATCATATTCCTTATCAATGTTCTTTGTACTGGGGAAGAAAAAGAAGTCCGAAGGGGCAAGATCAAGGATGCAGGGTGGATGGGGTAAAGGTTCCCCAATGATATTCTCATAGGAACGCCCTGGAGACCCTTAATAATGAGCAGGTGCATTGTTGTGATGGATAAATTTCTTTGGCCCAACTCTCGGGGCCTTTTTCTCACCAGAACAGTTTTCCTTAAAAACTTCTTCCTAATTAGCCCCTGTGATCATCTTGTGTCCTAGAAAAATCAATACTCTTTTGCAATCCCCTAAATTAGCTGTCATAACTTTCTGAGCTGGCCTCTCCACCTTCAATTTAATTGGGCCAGCATATTCCCTTGGAAGCAATTGGTTTGATTGGGTGTTGCCTTCTGGATTGTACTGTAAAACCAAGACTCATTCCTGGTTTTAATTATTTCCATTACAAACCGTCTTCAATAGCTTTATCTTGCTTAAAAGACCAATGGAAAGACGAGCTCTTCTTGAGCCAGCTGATTTTCAAGCAGTGCTTTTGGAACCCATTGAGCCAAAAGCTTGCTGAGGAAGATATGTTTGTGTTAAAATTTAAACTGTTGAACCATGTGAAGTTCCACTTCAGAGCTATCACATGAATGGTAATTCTATGGTCTTCTACCAGTTTCTGGACTTGAGCCCTTTTGTTTTGTCAAGATTGACAGACATCCTCTTGGCTTATCCATGACACAAATATTCTTTTTTGAAGGCACTCTAACAAGACTAAGACAAATGTATTGCTAAGAGAACAGAGGGCTCTTTAAACATTTCATTTGCATGTATGAATCAGAACCCTCAAAGTAACTTTTTGACTTACCCTCTTCTTAAAATACCAGTTAAATAGCAGTCTGTATGATGGGAGGTAGAGTCCCGGTGTGGTGCTGTAGGATAAGCACTGGACTGATAATTGCATGATCGGCGGTTCAAACCTGTTAGCAACTTCTGGAAAACTCTATACAGGATTGCTATGAGTTGGAACTGACTTGACGGCACTTTAACAGTGTGAGATAAGGAACGCTGGTGCCACAGTGATGTTAGCCACAAGGGTGGCAGTTCAAACAACCAGCCACTCTACAGGACAGAGAGGAAGCTGTCTTGAAAACCCGATACAAGGTCACTGAGTTGGAGTCAATTCTACAGTGAATTGACTTGGTTGTTTTTTTTTCCTAGTAGGGTAGAGTAGTTTAGACTGAGAAGTAGGAAATTTAAGTTACTCAGAACTGCTATTATCTACATTCTCTGGTTCAGAAATTCCTTTTCTACTTAAAGGCTTAACTCAAATATCTCCTCCCAAGGTGATAGTCCTGAGTCAGTGTGAAATGTCACTATTTATTCAATAGGAATCTACATATACCTCTAGCACTGTATTTTATACTGTATTCTAACTGTTGGTTTGAAGTTTTGACATGACACTGGAAGATAAGCACTCAACCCCAAGGTCAGTTTGAATTGCAAGGCTGGCAGTTCAAATTCACCAGCTACTCTATAGAGGGTTGCTATGGGTTGGAACCAACTCACTGACACTTAACAACTACTTAGGTTTATTATTTCATTTGCCCTACTAGTCTAGAAGTGGCTCGAACTGAGTTATTCATTTGTGCTCTCATTATTTACTATGCACATTTGTCACCCATGTTTGCTGAATGAATGAAATGTGGGTAATCTATGTGTAAATATAAAAAACAGCAATATTAATTTTAAAGTTTCCCAAATGCCATAATAAAAATCAGCAAGAGGAAGTATCAATGCAACAAAGATGAGAAACACTCAAATAAATGAAGATAACTCTCAGTTTCACATAATCTCTTTTTTATTATTTCATTCAAGAGGGGATTGACTTATCTTCCCAGCCTTCAAATGCTAGAACAATTTATCAAAGTCAAAAGTTAACTAGACTAAACTTAATAAACTTCCTTCTTAACTGCCAGGTAACCCAGAATTTCTCTTACTTGCCCAAAAGGCACTTATTAAAGTCCCCAATGAGGTTTGTTGCTATTTTTGGGGGGTGGGGGTGGGAGTAAAATCTCATAGGATTCCCAGTCACAGCTCCATTCTTTTCAAACGTTTAGTAGTAATGGTGGTGGTGAATGTTAAGTGCCTCAGTATCAAGAAACACTTTCAAATTATACAGCTTTTCTATTTCTCAATGGAAATAAAGTATTATGTGTACTGAATGATTCTAAAAACTATAAATAATTAAATAATTAAGATTTAGAGAGTCAAGCAATGATCTTCCGGTAGATTCCTGGTTTATTTACCCACACTCCTCACAGAAGTCTTTCTGTTCCCTCTAAACAGGGCTCAATTCTCAGCCTCCTCCAGTGCAACACTAATACCCAACACTCTTCCAAAGTTCCTGGTGAAATCCACTAACTCCATTCACATTTCCTCCTCTATAGCCTGCAAACATTTTACTCCATCAGGGCTGTAAAAACAAAACAAAACAAAACAAAACACCTTTTTAGATAAATACTTTTTGAATATCTGTATGAGGCTTTACTTTTAAGGTGGGTGATCAAACTAGGTACTGCTTTTTCAATGGAAGGCTAATTTTGTTGTGCAGCGTATTAAAAGTATTCTAAAAGTGTTGGGTAATGGCAAGATTACTAGGTTGGTCCATGGCTTTAAAGGTGAACAATGTATTTTGAAGGTAACAAACATTCACTGGCACACATATGCTTGATTCGAAAGTACAGATACATAGTTTGCTTGGAGTGAACAATTACAAACTGGTATTCAGATTAGCGGGGGCAGTTTCCATGCATTACCTATCTGTGTGTGCCGGTACCTAGTTTAATAAACTTTGTAAAGTAACTAAAACTAAACAGAAGAAAAGTTAATTTTGAAAAAGTGTCCACAATTTGTTACTCTAGCAGATGTATAACCATTCCAATGGCATTTTTACATTCTCAAAACAAGACAAATTTCTACAGAAATATACCATACATACACTGCAGTATAGTTAGATTGCATCAGTGAAATCCTGGCTCTGATATGTGACTAGTCTAGGCAAATGATTCTTTTTGTTTCATAGATGCATCTGTAAAAAAGGAGTACCAGCGACTGTTTTCAAAGCTCTGGTGAGGATTAAATCAATCAGTATATACAAAGCATTTATAACAGTGTCTAAAAATATTTGAACAATATGGTTCAAATATTACTATTAGTATGTTGAAAAACTAAACACCAGTTTTGAATTTCTTAGTGGTGGTCTTAAAAGTTTTATTTTTTAAAAATTCCCTTTTTTCA